CTCATTGAGTCTGGCATATAGCTCATTCACAGCGGGAAGGTTGGGGGGTGGTGTCATGATGGCTGGCGTTTGGGGCACGGCACCACTCGCTTTCTTCGCTCGATCGGCGATAGTCGCAAGGTAGGCCAGGTTGGCTTGTAGGCGTCGCATGCACTCAATGTATTCAGGGGTCGGCTTTTGATTGGCTTTGGATACATCCGGTTGCTCTGGTATGGGTGAATTTGTATCCGGGTTGGAGGCGGGGCCAGCCTTGCCGGCCGCTTGTAGGTTCACCACCTCTTGCAACAAGGCCGAGTTGATGTCGAGGAGGGCTGTGACGCGAGCCTTCTCACGCGCCGCAAACTGAGCTTGGGCATGGGCATGGGCTTGAGCCTGGGCCTGGTTTGGAATGGCAGAGGAGGCTCCGGTTTGGGGCGAGTTCATTTGCGAAGGGGCTTTGGGTTGTGTGCCGAGTAGGTTGTTCGCTGATATGGAAGCCATGTTTTGAGAGAAGGTCTGCGCTACTTGAGATGGCATATTTGCGCCGGATGTGGCTTGAGGGGGGACAAACTGGCCCATGGGGGTAGGGATGGGAGTCTGGGAGTAGGGCGCTGAGAAATTATCCATAGGTGCTATTATGATTAAGAATATGGTTAGTTCAAGTTATTCCAACAGCAAAAGCGACCTGGGTAGACAGGAGACAAATGGTCAAAGCCAGATAGTGCCAAGTGTGATAGCGGCACAGCCGATTTATCCAAGCCGGGTCATAAGGGCGGGTGACAAGGGGGTGGGCTCGAGTGGATATAATTCAATTCGATCTTGAGGCTCACGGGAACCCCTTCCTTTCCCCAAGAATTTGAGCAACAATTCTACCCCGCCGGGTAAGAGTGACAGACGCGCCGTGCCAATGATAACAACCAAAAAAAAGGGGGGGAGGGGACAACGAACCGGAAGACTGTTGGAAACCTGAAGGCATCATACCTCCACCAGGACCAGGCTGCATGGGTATAGCACCAAAATGTTGAGCGGACGGTGTCTTTGATTGGGGGTATGGGGGAACAGCGTTAGGGTAAAAAGGCATCTGTTGGTTTTGGGGGCTCTGAGTTGGGACGGGATAGCCTGCGGGATAACCAGTATTGGGGTCCATTGTGTAATGAGGGACCATCACGGTTTGACAGGTGGCTCCAAGGATTCTTTTCGCCCTGTAATACTTCTTTTCTCTAGCGATCCCCTCGTTTTAGGGAAGCTACTGTGAGATTACGCAGGCCGCACGGACGAGACGGTGAAGGCCCAACGGCGCCTGTCAACCGGGAATCCAGGGATGGGGGAGATTTGGCGATACCCGGAAACTGCTAGGACCAAAAAAAGACAGTCGTGATTGGGTCAGTCAAAAGGCAGGGGTGTATTAGGAACACAGCCTCCACAGCAAACTGGGACTCGGAGCAAAACAGATTCTGGTGCCCAGATTTGAGCGATCAGCCGTGGGCGGGCTAATGCAGCGGAGCCCCTTGGGAATGGTGGAGACACAGGCTTAAATGAATGAAGTTGAGATGATAACGGTAATATCTCAAGTTGGCTTGAATTTTGACTTCGTGATTCAGAGTTCTTAAGCGTGCACTTTGTTGTTTAGAGAGTGTAACTGGTGTCCACAATGAAGGTGACATTCAAAGGTCACGGGGTTCAATGTGAAATGCCTCAGGCAAAAGATATTAATGCCTAAATTTTATGGTGGAAATATATTGTTGCCTTATAATCTCATTTTCTCATTTTCTCGGTTTTTTTTTTTTTTTTTTTTTTACAGTATACAAGAATAGTCGGACTATAATGTCTCTGCCTCTAACGACATAGGAATTGGATAATCCCAATATATATAATATTAGCTTGGAATGATATTAGAGGCGTTAAAATAAGATAATGCTACCATATCTTTTTTGCGTACTGTTTTCCTACAATATATGTTGTAGCCGGATATGTGAAAATTTGACCAAAAAGCGTTTCATTATAATAATTTTTGAAATATAAATTGTGAAAATACCCCATGTCTTCGAAGCCACGCTGTATTTTTCTCGCTCACAGTGACTTTCAGTCTCCTGACCTCGCGTATGTGTTCATACCTTTTACCGCCATATTGTTTAGAGTGACATGGGACTCCCCTCATTCTAGACTGCCAACGGCTCACATCTACGGGGCAGTGCTGGAAATGACATTATAACGGACAAAAGTTCCCTTAGTATCCCGGCAGGGATGGCAGGGATGTCGAAGGGGGCGTACTTTGTTGTCCATCTGGGTGTGTTAGTATTTGCCAGCAACGGCTTGGTGCTTATGGCCTCGCAATTTGTATCTCCAGGCTCGTTGATCACGTTCGGGGAATTGGACAGACAGTACATGCATGGGAAAGGGGGTCGGAGGACTTGGCGAATTCTAAGAAGAATTGACAAAGCATATAATTGACATGTCAGGAATAACTATGCGACACATCATGCAATCTCGCTAGAAGCGGTAAATTGCTAGACGATCTACTCCGTATAAACAAAGTTCATAGTCAATCAGTGCAAGTGCGTCTTACCTCTGGCGATCCCCACCACACAGACATGTGAGTGCAGCCGGTAGGAGCTGCAGGGGATAAACAGAACCATTCTTGAAATCCAGGTATGAACAAAATTGGACAAGTATACACACCTATTGTGGACATAACTATATAATTGTGCATAACTATGTGTGCGGTGTAAACATGTACAACGCTAAAAGGGGAACTGTGGACCAGTGTAAATGGATGCGTACCTAAGTAGCGTCATTTGGACGCCACAAGCTCCATTAAAGGGACCCCATTTCCAGGAAATGCAAGTCGGATATGCGCACTTTATGCGAATGGGATGTGGCTGAGCAAGCACTGACAGCCCTTTACCTACCTACCTTGGTAGGTATCTCGGTAGATCAATATCCAGGTATCCATGCATCGAGTCCGGATGGTTCCAATGCCATGGATGAGTCCAAAACTCTAAACTCAATCTCCTTCCCGTCGACAAACTTCAAGCCTTTACTCCGGACAATTACAATTACCTAGGTACACACAAATACAGATTTTAGCGTACGGAGATCTCGGGTGGATGTTCTCCGTTACTTGTATGGTATGGGACCTTGTTCAAAGTCAAACCAACTCCACATATTACATGTAAATATGTAACAAGCACACAACATTGTAATTCCATAGTAACTAACTATCCAGAGATGTTCCATAAAAAGCTGAATTCTATCAAAAGCAACACACTCTTCTCCACAAGGGAACATCCGGGAATTGAGAAGCTTATTGTGCGTTCATGAAATTCATGTAGTCTCCACTTGGATATCGGGGTTTGACCGAAGCCCTGCTTTGTATATTGTAAACGGAGTCCCCCGTAACTATAGATAAGAGGGGTACTCGGTACTCCATACAACATACATACTACGTACTCCGTACCAGAGTGACACTTGTATCATGGGAAATAGCACGGTGGCAAATTGAGCCACTATCACATATTCTTTGGTTCGCATTCTTCACCCCTTTTCAGCCAGCACATGTCGATCACCTTTGGAGAGTCTCAGTCCTTGAGGCCTTTCAGAGGAAGACCGAAGCAAGCCCGCCCGGCCGATATAAGGTGAGGCTGAGGAACTTTACCGAGTTAAGCCCGCCCGGCCGGTAAAAGTTCCAAGGTTCCAAGGTTGACATTCGGCATTTGGTTTAAACTTCATATCAGCCACATGGATTCGACCAAAGCCTCTTGTGGGACGAACATATGGACGTGATATTGTCAAACTAACTGACTAGTTAACTAGTGTGTGATAACTAACTAGTTATAGGTAGAGCATAAAAATAGTGACATCTGCCGACCAATGCATCAAATGCGCCCGTATCCCAGCTCTAAATCACACTCTTGAGTAAACGGTGTGCTTCAACACCCTTGTCGAGGTACGTACTTCTTAATCGGGGTTTCTGTCCATTAGTTTTGTGAGGATAAGCAAGGAGATAAAAGAGTAATACAGAGACATATATGTTGTATACAATGGAATACTGGTTGGCAGAAGGCAACCGGTGGGTACCAACACAGCCACAGACGTCTGCGAACCATTTCAAAGATTTGATGGGTGTTTTCTATACCTATGTTGTAGGTAATCTATAATATGGGTCATGCACGGAGTTTTATCCTGTTATTCGAATATCAATCGATATTCATTTACCTATCAGGTCCCACGAGGCAATCCGAGGAGGGTGATGGTTGTTCACATCCTGCAGCACCGCTATGGTATGATCAATATTGTAGATGCCTGGCAGGTTCTAAGGGGCAAATTTTCCAAGGAGTCGTGGGACTTGTGGAAATAACCACCTAGCTACACTTCACATAGCATATGGTATGCCCTTGATAGAGAACATTAGTACATACATAGTTGAGCATTGCAATGTCAAGTTCTTATCCGGGGAATTTTCCTGCCTATTAACAGACAGAACAAACAGGAAAAGATGTCCGAATCCAGGCCCTAAAATACAACCTCTGTCGTCCGTTTCGATACTGTATCTGCTTTGACGCTTTGCAGATCAGTACTTTTCGAGTCTCCACAGGACTTGGAAGTTGGGCCTCCACATATTAACTATGACGCGCTATAGTTTAGTTAGTTACATAGTTACGGAGTACATGGTACGCAGTAGTTAGCGCACCTGAAAAAAAAGATCTGTCTATAAATATTCAAGTCAAAGCACATTTTGGTTCGATACTAACTGATCGGCAAGTCGGAAGCTGGCCAAAGGCATTGCTACTGTGTGATCATCGCATGCTCTGCCACTTGGTCCGCTTCCTCCCATACGAAATTTCCTGTAGAAACTCCCCCCCCCACTTCTCCTGCTCCCTCTGTGGCCCGTAGGTTCAATTTGATAAATTTGCCATAAAAAACCTGGGGCAAAAGTCATTGGGTCCATATTATATGGTATCTACTTCCCTTTTTATGTGACCAATGATCTTGACTGACCCGAACCAAGGCCCCAGAAAAAGATGTCTAGGCGATCACCAGAGGGACCTGAATATGCCCATTTTGCTATGATCTACATAGATAACGATGGGAATCTTTGCCAAAGAGCCTCTGATTCCATTTCAGAAAGCCGCCAAACCATTCTCTCGCCTAGAGTCACACGTGAATTCCTCAGAGCGGTGGCAATGTCGAGAGAAGCCCACACAACGCAATGTCAAGGTAGGGGCTCTATTCACCCCACATGAAGTGTTTTTATTGATTTAGAACAGTTTCTCCTCAAATTCTGTCTAGCGGGGAGCCCCCATTTAACAACCACACCTCTGCTCTGCCGCAGGGGGTGGCCTACAGTGAAATGGGGGTTAGTCAACACAGGATGCAAGCCCCATTTCAATCAGAGTCATCGTTTCGGCCGACAATGTGGCCCTCAAGCGAGTCTTGGCCTCTACAAGCCAACCCGCAACCCAAGAAGGATTTCGGAGGTCGGAACCTCAACTTGGCTCTACACCAAAGAGCATCAATCTCTGTAAAAGAGAGAGGTTTTTTGCGTCTCTACTATGAGAAAATCTTCCAGAACTTGCAACAAACAAACTGTCGAATCATTGCCAAAGCCTATATCAAATTAGTTGAGCCGCGCAAGCAAGTCAACTACCCATACAATGGACGGAAGATTGTTGAAGGGAGAACCCAACAGCTGGATCCAGAGGCAACTAAGCCACCATGGTGGCCACGTGGAGTGAGCCATCGGGAGCCAGATCATCTTCCAAAAGTTGGTAAGATAACACTATCCTTCCGAATGCCCTACTAAGCTGACAATAATCAGAACGCATTCGACTTCTAGTATACATGCTCTGCGAGATGCGCGAAACCCACGGTATCACAACAACCAGACTAAAACAATGCGATCAGCCCATCCGTCGTCAAATCCTCCCGGTCGAGCGTTTACAAATCCTAGACGAGGCATACCGAGTCCGCGAGGAGGAGGAAAACTTCATCGATGGGATTTCAGGTACATACTTGCTTGCATTCTCTTCTAAACTCCCCAACGCTCACACGTGTGATCTAGATGGAAAACCTGTGTCTATATCCCAAACCAATCTTCCTCAAATGACAGAAGACACATCCAGCGGACAAAGCTCGCCAATCGAACCAGCCCCTTCTCAGAAAATGGTCGAGTCCGAGTGCAGCGACGGAATATCTGGCATCGATATAACCCAAGCTACCTCCAGAGACCTGTCGAGGGCGTCATCATACAATCCCTCCAATCCTTATAGCCCAGCAATGCACCTGGCCCCAAACACCCAATACCAGTCTGTCGGCCCTTCTACTGACATGTCCACGTCGCCATTGGAATCGAGGCCCAAAAACGAATCACTATCTGCTGGGGCGCATTTGATTGATCAAACACGTCCCGTTAGCATCGAACACTATCCATATCCTGGGGTTTCTGGTATTCCACCAACCCAGATGCAGTTCTATGGTAACCCTAATTTGTCCCCGAATGCAGGTGTTCCAATCACCCATACCTCGACAGAAAACTTGTCAACAGAGACAATGATGCCATACGGCCACCCTTACTATTTTAACTATTGAGGGTTAAAATATGGACAGGAGAAATATAATGCCTGTTTACGATAATGGAGTTTGTTCGGGTTGCAGTGGAGCAAGACACCCTGCTCGGATAATTCCCTACAGGGGGCGATGCTTCTTTCAAAGCAAAGCACCGGTTGAACTTGTAATTAACAATGAGTTCAAGGTTGTGAAAAATTCAGGGATAAATACAAAGGCGGATCAGCACAGGCCGGCTTAGTCCCCCTTCATCATCAGGAATCATTGCTCTGGCAAGCCTACAAACACTGTGAGTACCATTCACTGGTGTATTTACAGGTCCCACTTGCGCAGGTTGTGCCTCCCGTCCAACCCGAGCCACCACACTGACCATAGAGAGGGACGCTAGTAGTACCACCGGAACTGGCAGTAGTTGTGGTCGTAACAAAAGTAGCCGTAGTGGAAGTGGTAGAAGCTGTACCACCCAGAGCAGCCAAGATACCCGCATAGGCGGGCTTCTTCACCAGGTTCGCATCCCAAGGACACGCATCACCCTGACCAGAGAATGTGCTAGGAACCCAAGAGTACTTGTCAGTGTAGTCCCAAATAGTAATTCCAACACACTTGTCGTTTGCCACACAAGCTGCAACGGTATTTTTGTAATCGGTCGACTGCCGGGCAAGCAAGGTAGTAGTTGATGGCAGGGTCATACGGATGTCAAGTTCAGTGTAAGCAACGTCGACACCTAGGGCTGTGAATGCGGCCAAGTTGGTAGTCTGCGCGCTCTGGCTAGGTGTACTTCCGACAATGAAGTGTGCCTGTAGGCCGACGCCATCAATCTTTGCTCCATACTGTTGCACGAGCTTGACAATTCTTTGGGCGCCTGTTGACTTGGAACTAGCTGATTCGATGTTGTAATCGTTGTAGTACAGCTTGGCATCTGGGTCGGCGGCAGCTGCTGTTGCAAATGCGATGGGAAGGTATGCCTCGCCGATGTGTTTATAGAAGATATTGTCACGGTAGGTCCCGTCCTCATTAAGAGCTAGTCATCCCACATATTAGCTACTTGATGATGATGATACCATCAGTTCTAGGTTCGACACTCACCTTCATTGGCAACATCCCAAGCATAACATTTGCCTTTGTAGTGAGTCACCACGTTGGTGATGTGGTTCTTCATGGCAGCAAGCAGAGTTGCATTAGTCCAGGAGCCGCTTGAGACTATTTCACAATTAGAACGTCCATTGAAAGATATCCGAGATAAACAAAACTTACCCCAGTTGGGCAATTGGCTATACCAAACCAGAGTATGACATCGCAGCTTTTGGCCATTGGTAGCAGCAAGGTTGGCAATGGCATCTCCTTGGGCATAAGAGAAGGTGTTTTGAGACGGCTCGCTTGCATCCCACTAGCGAAGATTAGAGAGGGTTCCAAACAGCACGACAAGGCTTGTCCAACCTTTTGCGCATTGCCGGGAGTAATTTGACCAAAGTCATCTGTGTTGCTCAGTTGGGCAAGGTATGGAGCATCAGTCAACTCGGGGTTATCAGTGGCTGATCCGAAGTATAGCTTTCCCTTTGCAACGGCAGCGGCGTGTAAGCCGGCCCCTTGAGTCCTATTGAAAAAAAGGGCATCAATCACTGTCAAAGTTTCTATGAATCGAAAGATAAACCATACAGCTGGGGAAGAATACTGGCCAATGCCAGGGCAATAGTAGAGAAGTGAACCATGACGAGATAATCAACGCCAATAATTGAAGTGATTACAATATAGACTTGGAATGAGGAACAGAAAGGGTTGATTGAGCTACCTTTATAGTCGGAGATAAACAGCGATAGCTAAATTGTCAAGATTTAGCAATTACCAAGGCCCCGTCACAGGGTAATTTCACATTTGGCAACTTTGTAACATTTGCCGGACCGACAGGCCGTGAAATAGTTGTCACGGCCTTTTGGAATGGTCAAATGGGCATGATTTCGACTTAGATGCCTGAAGATGATGAGCTCGTGCATGAAATTGGTCACTTTAGCCAGGGAAACAGACACGGGGCGCGGCGCCACATGGTGAATAGGCTAGAGAAACGAATAAAGAGACAGCGGAGCAAATTCCGTATCTTCTTCAGGGCAAAAAGAGGCGTTTTTCATATTTCCCCGTGAAGCTGAACGGGTAAATGCGCTCTTCTCCGCTTCCACAGATCCGGGGAATCTTCAAGGCCGTCGATCAACTCTTCCCCCCTTTCGACTTCTTTGTAACTACATACATATTGGCTACCTATGGATCGCTTTCCCTTTCCGCTTTAGTGCTCACTGAGTAAATCTGGGCACGCCCTTTCATCTTACATAATCATCGAACTTCCAACCTTGGAGGTTCCAAGGTCCACTTACCTTTTTATTATGTAAGCTAGGTGTACGGGCGACTAAATATGCCACCCAACACATAACTCTCTCATTGGTTACTACCTCACCGCCTGGTCCATTACCGCCTTCTTGAAGCATTTACTATTTCTATACTATACACTTTATAGATTCAATTCAGATTCAATTCAGATTCAATTCAGATTTAAGATAGTAAGAATTCAAGAGTTTATATAAATACTATAACTATAAAGTACCACGCTAATTGTATAACTATAGATTCAACATGGTACTTGTGAAGTGAGAGATCTAAATTATTGCCTGGCAATATGAACCAATGAGAGATTTATGTGTCTGGTGGCATACTTATCGCCCGTATACAACATAGATGACTCCCCGGGCCTCATCAAGTGTCACCTGAGCAATCCGGTCTCACTGAGACCTGACCGGTCTGACTTGTCAACGTCCAGCACCAGATCCAAACCCATCCACCCCAAAGCGACCCAAGCAGACAGCTACCCCTGACCCTCCAAAACCTAGCAAAGCGAAGGCAGAACCGCCAAGCATCCCCGCTAAACGACCATCATCCATCCGGCAGCCACTTGGCAAGGTTAGCTATAATTAGCATCTTATCAAAAATGCAATCTCCGACTACTCACACTGAATAGCACGAGGCCAACTTCATCCTCTACGGCAGAGGCCCGAAACAGCCACTGTCCGTAATCCAACGAACCATCAACTCCCAGGACATACAGTACTCCAATGACCGGAATACGTGGGTCAACGTGATGGCCGTGGATAAATAGAGGGACGAGTACTACGAGGGCCAAGATCTTGTTAATATGCGTCAAGCTCGAGATCAGATTCTTGACCTCTGTAACGAGTGGATCGTTGAATGGAAACACTAGCCAGCACTGATCCCCTCAACCACTCTTCTCGACCAACTCCACTCTCTGGATTCCCTGGTCGGTTAGTAGGTAGAACCCGATGTTGAGATTGATATAGCTGTATTTTTAGATATTGCAGAGAAACGGACCCTGATTGTGTATCAGCTGAATGGCTTTTTGTATCATGCGATGCTGAAAGGTCGTTATTATTCTCCTTCGATTCTCAATGCAGAGGATCTTATGAATGTGAAGCAAATTCCCGCCTCGGCCTACAACCCCAACTTTTCTGTTGGATTTACCGCAGCTCCTAAAATGCTGCCCATGTCAAAAAACCTGGATTGATCAGTTACGATTTGATCAGCGAAGGGCCTCGACCGAATTCGATTGCGGAGCCTTAAAGAAGCAAGGGTTTACGAACTCTTAATGATACACCCACATCCCAACATTGCTACCTATCTAGGTTGTCAAGTTTCTGGCGGCGTAATCACTGGTCTTTGCCTCGAGAAGTACCCGCGCACGCTAATGAAAGAGGTCAACCCAGGCGCCCTTATGAAGAGAGCACTTAGAAACACGCGGGAAGCGAGGGAGGATTATAGCCGTGTCCTCACGGACATTAACAGTGGCATCCGGCATCTCCACTCGCTAGGGTTGGTCCATAACGACATCAATCCAAGCAATATAATGATTGACGGTGATAGAGCAATCATCATCGATTTCGGGTCTTGCCGGAAGATAGGAGAAAGCATCAAAGACGTCGGCCGTACTCATGAATGGTACGATGGAGAAATGCAGCAGTCTCTTCCCGAGAATGACTTAAAGGAAGGCCTTGGAGGAGATTCGCATTTGTCTTGGTGTTGGTTCATCAGAATGGAGTCTAATACTTCTCTATGCATATTATCTCCAAAGCCATATCATTGCTTACGCTCTTGTACTTCTGTTTAACTCGTTTTACCTGCCCCCAAACTGTATCAAGGCAGACCCAAAGTAAGAGGCTCAGTATGTCCTTGGATTACATACAGCAAAGTGAAGCTATGTACATGATGTCTGCTTTCCATTTTTCAGCGGCGAGTAATGAGCGCATAAACAGGAAAATATTTCTGAAAGTGGAAGTGGTGAGTCACTTTGTTTGGTGAAAAAGCCGTAAAGTGTGAGTACAGCGCCCAGACCATAGCCACTCATCCCTCAGCAATCGAACTACACGTATGGGTCCTGCTTATGTTAGTGGGTATGTAGCCTCCTGGCACTCCCAGGGCGATTTGGCAAATACGAAGGGTTCGTATTGCTTTATCCGACAACGTGATTTCTTTTTTATTAGGAAAACTAACCCAAGATATCTAGTGAGTGTCCTCATAAAAGCGGAGGCAGCCAAGATAGGAAAGCCCCATCTGGAATAGGAAAGACACGCCATGTAATCAGATCCACATCGTACGGTTAAGGTCATTCAAATAACAGCTATGACCAATCTGGCCCAATGGGTGATTTCACTTGAGCCTTGGATATGTTGGATTATGATCAATGGTGGGACCTCTTGTTCCCAGGAAGATTCCCCGCCTATGATATCTATAAGAATCTGAAAATGCATCTATGTACACAAGGTTGGCGCTTTTAAGGGGTATCAGAGATTTTATAACATCATGTTGCTCCGTAGTAGGACCAGAGCAGAGCATAAAGAGTGGTTAGGGACCACTGTTTCAGCCAAATCCAGACCGGCAGGTCAACGGGTAGGGGGCAGCACTCCTCCCATGGGTGCGATGATTTTTCGGACGCGAATTCCATAGAAATCCACGGGATGAGTTGAAAGATGGGCAGTGGACTTCATGTTAATGAGATACCGCTCAGCCAGTCTTCCGAGCCTTCATCTCTGCGATGTATTTACCGGTCTTGGAGAGAGGCACGACATGGATGCTGACAAGCTCATCCAAAACCTCGACCTTAGCACCGGAGAGAATTTGCAACAAAGGCAGCTTCTTGCCAGCCTTGATCAAACCACCCGAGACAGTCTGCATGAAGCACTCAACACCTTCGAGGGTGTATTCCTTCTTGGTGTCCCAAGGAAGGGGGAAGATGTAACTCAAATGGTCCTCAATAGCGTTCATCTCCGAAAACGCCTTGATGAAGTCGGACTGGGCCTCCATGGGGTAAAGGAAAACGACCGGGAACTCGATTGTGCTCTCCGGCGAGAGAGGATCAGGGACGAGACGGATCTTGGCATCTTCCATATCAGGGGGCTGATCGGTTTTGCGGGTTCTAATCTGACGGGCGCGCAGAGCTGTGCTGAGGACCATATTCTGCTTGCGCAACTTTTCTTCTTCGGCCTTCTTCCTTGCGGCAGCACGCTCCAAGAGGGCTTTGCGCTCGGCAATCTTCTTGGCAGATTCTTGAAGAGCCTTACTTTCGGGGTCAATTGCCAATCCTCGGGCTGCAGCATCTTCAGCCTCGGCAACTTTGTCCAATTTGAAGAGTGCCAAGGAGGAGCGATAGAAGGCCTTCACGTTTTTAGGGTTGAACTTGAGGGCGACAGCACAGTCGAGAGTACAAGAACGGTAGTTTCCTGTACAGGAAATATATTAGCCAATGTCCCGTATAGCCAGGAAGATAAAACATACCGAGTTCCAAGTTGCACAGTGCCCGGTTGATGTGTGACGCCTCCTCCAATTTGCGCAAGAGTGCCGCCTCTTCCTCGGGATCTTCAGGCTTCTCCCACTTATTCTCCTTGGCGTTAATGACAGCAATAGCCTTTGTGTAGAACTCCTTAGCGTCAATCCACTTAAGTTCCTGCACAGCTTCATTGCCTTGTCCCTTGAAGGTATTCGCAACCTCGCCCCTGGTACCTTCATTCTGCAAAGCCTGGAGAGCATCTAGAAGTACGTTTTCACCCTCTGTAAACCCATGTATGTTAGTCACATCAAACAATCATGCCCAAGGAATAATCTGACGTACTCTCATCGCCCGCATTCTCAATATCGGTCATGAACAGGGGGTCTTATTCATCATTGCCATCAACTCCTCTGGGGTATGCGACTGGATAGCCGCAATAGCGGGCGGAAGTTCAGGTGCATTGGGATCGGTCTGGCGCGCCTTCAGTGCCTCCTCATTGATCGGGAAGGGAATTTCGTGTGTAGGATCGAAGGCGTCAAACCCAGGCTGGGGTAGGCTCTGGGCGGCCTCAGGAGGGGCTTTGTTGAGATTGAGCGACTCATCAAAGTCATCTGGGAGTTCTTCGACGCGCGACATCTTGTAGGTTTGTCACAGGAAAATTGTATTGCTCTTTCGGAGAATCGGAGATCGTCCAAATGCTTAGAAATGATGCCCGCAATGCAAACGGTGCAAACAGGAGGGGTCTGGTCGGCCCTAAGCCCTATTACCGGATTCGTCGGACTATAATGGAGATCCAAAGACGCAAGATGTATGAAGAAGAAGGAATCGAAAGAAAGTAGGCGATTATAGGTAGATTTTTGGGTTTAAAATCATCGAAATATTCCACGATGGACTGGATGTTTCTATGTGGAGAGTCAGATTGGTGCCTGAGGCCACAACTTTTCATAACTCCTTGGCTATCAGTCTATCAATTTGCTGCTATTAGGTTATATTCCACTATCTATGCAGATTTGCTTCACTATTGGCATAGTTCTATCAGAGATCTTCTATCAATAATCTTCTGTAACAGAAAGTAAGGGCATACACCACACTGTTTGATGCTTGAGGTACTCCACTAAGGAATGTCAATACTACCTAGTACGACATAGATAGTCCGGGGTATCTTTAAAGCCTGATCTTGCATACTCATCCCCACAACTGACAGCTCCACAGAAAGTAAAACCGCATACCCCTCTAGCCCTGTGACAGACCTCCGCACATCGGAGGCGATTTCATCGGCGAAAGCCCGACCAAATGAAACCCCGCATCAATCGGGTTGAAGGCCGACATCCGGTATAGGCCATATATAGTCCTGGGTGACAGGAGTATGCGAATAATCGAATAATCTGATTAACCCCGGATAACCCTTTGTAGCAACAAACGCCATAGAACCATGGCGAAAAACTTCAATATCCTCGTCCTACCCGGCGATGGCATCGGCCCTGAGGTCATGGCCGAAGCCGTTAAGGTTCTCAAGGCCTTTGAGACCCCCCAACGCAAGTTTGAACTACGCCAGGAGTTGATTGGAGGTTGCAGCATTGATGCTCATGGCAAGTCTGTGACCGAGGGAGTCAAGCAGGCAGCTCTAGACTCAGACGCAGTGCTCTTCGCCGCAGTTGGAGGCCCGAAATGGGACAACCAACGTCGTGGTCTTGATGGGCCCGAGGGAGGCCTACTCCAACTGCGTAAGGCTATGGATATCTATGCAAACCTACGCCCGTGCTCGTCTACCTCGCCCAGTGCCTCCATCGCCAAGGAGTTCAGCCCATTCAAGCACGATGTTATCGAAGGGGTTGATTTTGTTGTCGTGCGGGAGAACTGTGGAGGTGCCTATTTTGGCCGCAAGGTTGAAGAAAAAACATACGGTAGGCTGATCTGAGATTCAGTTGTTCGAACAGCAATCTAACTTTTTTTTTCTCTTCTACTCCAGCAATGGATGAATGGGGCTACTCCGAAGCCGAGATCCAACGAATTACCCGTCTATCTGCCGAAGTGGCATTGCGACACAATCCCCCTTGGCCTTTGATCTCACTAGACAAGGCAAATGTACTAGCTTCGTCGCGACTCTGGCGCCGGGTAGTGGACAAGACCATGGCAGCTGAGTACCCGCAAGTGAAATTGGTACACCAGCTGGCCGACTCCGCATCACTGATTCTAGCAACGAACCCGCGATCCCTGAATGGTGTCATCTTGGCTGACAACACATTCGGCGACATGATCTCCGACCAAGCTGGATCTATTGTGGGCACGCTGGGTGTGTTGCCGAGTGCCAGTCTCAACGGTCTGCCTGGTGATAAGACGTTGAAGACACGACCTTACGGGCTGTACGAGCCCACACATGGATCTGCTCCGACGTAAGTGATAGAACCATGTGATAAAAAGCCCTGTTCTAACTTTGTGATAGCATTGCGGGACAAAATATTGCTAACCCAGTTGCAATGATTCTCTGCGTCGCGCTTATGTTCCGATACTCTTTGGGCATGGAAGATGAGGCTCGACGTGTAGAGGATGCGGTGCGCAAGGTTCTGGACTTAGGGCTTCGGACGCCTGACCTTGGGGGTAAGGCTGGGACTAGAGAAGTTGGTGATGCGGTTGTATCCGCACTATAACTAGTATCCAAGATAGGAATGGCTATACCAATGGTTGAACCATATGTACGGGCGAATATGCCATCCGACACATAACTCTCTCATTGGTTATTACCTCACTGCCTAGTTCATTACTGCCTTCTTGAAGCATTTACTATTTCTATACTATACACTTTATAGATTCAATTCAGATTCAATTCAGATTCAATTCAGATTCAATTCAGATTCACTTCAGATTCACTTCAGATTCAGTTAATAAGATAGTAAGATAGTAAGAAATCAAGAGTCAAGACTTAAGACTTAGGAGTATAAAGAGCCTGGTGTTAAAAAAAAATTAATATCGTATTTGTTGAACAATCTCCTATACATACATATATTTTTGCTACAAACTAAGCCCTAGTTATTTGTTCCTATAATCGAGCAGAGTTTAGATGGTTTTAGCAGGGTATATAGCCCCCTACATTTCTAGTTTAATCAATTAATAATTCTGCCTCTGCTTTCTCCCCACATTGTAACAGGTTGCTCAACAGGATTCATTTATAAAAATACTATATAAAGTAACTATAGATTCAACAATAGTATTTGTGAAGTGAGATGAACCAATGAGAAAGTTATGTGTCGGGTGGCATACTTAGTACTGATCCATGAATCTCACCCAGACAAAGAAAGAAACCGGGACAAAGAAAGAAACCGATCAAAGCCAATGTTTGTTAGCTGAAAACTGGGGGTGAAAGAAAAGAAACTTACCTAAAACCCACCTGATTTCATAATCCATTCAAGATCATAATATCCTCCAAGATTTACATTCTTCTCCCATTCTTATTCCTCTCCATGTCTCAAGCTTCCATAACCCCAGAGAGCCCAAGAGAAGAGAGCCCGCAAGAAGAGTCTCCACAAGAAGAGTCTCCACAAGAACAATCTGCACAAGAACAGTCTCCCACAAGAAACAAAGCACTCAGCATGTCATCCGAAATGCCAGCCACCTCATCGAAAGCAGCGATGGCACCAAAGCACCCAAGCCAGCAACCAAACTTACCAGGATCCTGCGCTCTCCGTCTTCAAAACCTCGAGCAACAAACCTCCACCACAAAAGGCGAGCTGATGGTATCAGTGGCAGCAGACATCTGCGCAACGTTCATAAGCATCGCCAAGTACTCCGAAGAAGGCACACTCAAAGCACAGCACACTGGAGTGATCGACAATGTGATCCAGACAATCCGCGGCACAGATGTGAAGCAGCGATACTTGCTCGATCGACAAGTTCGTCGACTGCGCAAAGAGAGGAACTGGATCCGGAATAAATATTTGCACCTGGCTGATCAGGCCGATGCAATGGGTTGCGCACATCGGACGAAGATGCAGAACTTAAGCACCTCGCTGCGAAAGGCACGACGGGAAGTGGCACGCCTACAAAGTGAGCGGGATATGCTGCGAGCTTGCTTGAAGAAGAAAGTAACTAAGGCTGTTTCGAATGGCAATGTCGATGTCGATGTCGATGCCGAGGGGGATGATATCGATGGAGAATATGAGATTATTGAGAGTGGAGATGAAAGCTTGGAAGTATGAAGGAGGAAGAGTTCTGATTTCGGATGATTTTCTCACATCTATGGGGGTTTCTTTGTTTTCTTTGTTTTCATTATGATTTCTTTGATCTCTTCGTTGTTTTTTTGGGCTTTGATGGGATCCCGTTTACACTTGCTTTTCTTTGTTTTGGCCCTGACTGTTAGGGCAAAAGAGGTCAGACCTTTGTTGTCCAATATGACTCATTTTCAACTGTACCATACGAATAATATAGTAAACAATCATGGGAGACTCGGGTTTGCCTATCAATATGAGTGCAATATGAGTGACAATATCCGAATCGTAAAGTCGGCTTATGAGTTCCGAGGTCTAGATCGGCATTTGATGGCGAATGTGATTTTGCAACTTCGTATATCGGTTGTTTTCGTGAATTTATAAGGTGATAACCACTTCAAATGGGAAATTTAGATCGGAACTGGACAATCCAATCGGATATTGCAAGAATTGCAAGAATCCCAGATCATAAGCAAAGCGTCCAAGTCCACAACCTCGGCATCTTCAATAGGCGCAGGCTGATTCGGCCCACGGATCCACCGACTTCTCATGTGGAAAGTCCGGGGGGTTTTTTTTTTTCGGTTCATCTTCTCCTGTTCTTTTTCTTTTTCTTCTCTATTCTTTTCTCATTCTGATCTTCAGTCTTTCCACTGAACCCTCTGTAAATCCATCTCGAAAGCCGACGTTGAGTTTGTTCGATTTCCTCCCGATAAATATACCCCGGACCGCGTTATCGGCCGATACCCGACAATGAGCACCCACGACTATGACGCTGTCCGCAAGGACATTGTCGATATCCTGAAGAAGCCCGGTTATGATGATGGTAGTGCAGGGCCCGTGTTCGTCCGACTCGCATGGTAAGTAAATGTGATTTCTTGAAGCCTGATCGTTTCCCGATCGGGGCTCCCCAGATCAACGGCGATAAGCCCCTTGTCAACACAATGTCACTGACAACGATTCCACAACCAGGCACTCCTCCGGTACATATGACGCCGAATCCGACACCGGTGGTTCCAACGGAGCCGGCATGCGATACGAAGCAGAGGGTGGCGATCCCGCCAACGCTGGCCTGCAGCACGGACGAGCATTCCTAGAGCCGATTAAAGAGAAGCACCCCTGGATCACGTACTCGGATCTGTGGACACTGGCCGGCGTAGTGGCGATCAAGGAGATGGGCGGACCGGATATTCCCTGGCAAGGCGGACGAACGGATTTGATTGGCGAGACCAAGTTGCCGCCACGCGGACGTCTGCCGGACGGAGCCCAGGGCGCGGACCACCTGCGATTCATCTTCTACCGCATGGGCTTCAACGATCAGGAGATCGTAGCGCTGACGGGTGGACACAACCTTGGCCGATGCCACGGCGACCGCAGTGGATTCGAGGGTCCGTGGGTGACGAACCCGACGCGATTCTCGAACTCTTTCTTCAAATTATTGCTCCAGCTTGACTGGAAGCCTCGCAAGATGGTGTCGGGTAATACTCAGTTTGTGTATGAGGATCCTGATGCCGAGGAGGATGAGGAGCCATTAATGATGCTGCCGACTGATATGGCGCTCTCCACGGATCCGGTATTTGCCCCATGGGTTAAGCGGTATTCTGAGGATAAGGAGTTGTTCTTCGATCACTTCGCCAAGGTGTTTGCCAAGTTGGTTGAACTCGGTATCCGACGTGATGCTCAGGGTACAGTGACCAACACTGACGGTACTCTTGGTGGGTATGTGTCGGCACCGAAGAAGAGCAACACTGCAACAGGTCCGCCCAGAGCGCGTCTGTAGAGTGGCATCTTTTTGTTTGTTGTTTTTTTTTTGTTTGTTTTGTTTTGGATTAATTCCCCTCTGCGTTAGTAGATCTGGGACTGCAGAATGCAGGATTCGGGCGTGTAAATAGATCATAAATCATAGAATATGATAAAGATACTGGTAGATGGTTATTGAAGTCGAGAAATTGTAAAATGAAAAAGAAAAGAAGAGGGAGAAAGGGGAAGTCTGGGGTAGAGACTGCGGGGAAACAGGGCACGGCTATATCGGGGTGTATAATATACTATGCTAGTATGGATGTATATGATGTATACGATGTTGTAAACTTGTTTTCAAGTATTAAGATATTAAATGGGTAATTATAACTGTAGATATGTACTACACATGTATGAACTAGTTAGTTAACTAGTTAGCCAGGTATACAGACTCGGGCCTCGGGTATATCAAATAAGAGCCCGCTAATTGGCAGATGGTCATGTCGACTAGTATCAATAGTATCAGTAGTGTATATTATGTATATAGAATCTTATTAAATGAATCTAAATGGACACAAAATAGAATAATAACATAAATCAAGACAAATCTGCCTTATCGGCATCATTGCCATCATTACCATCATCAACATCATCAGCATCATCAGCATCACTATCACCAGGTCTCCAAGTTGGATCGGTATTCTTGTTCTTCGAATTCCTCAATCCAGGTCGTCTAGATACCCTCGGCTTCGCCTCTTGCTGTTTCTTCTGTTCGCCCTTCTGTCTTTGCTGTTTATAATATTCCTCTCTCGTCCATTTCGGGTCTTTCTCCTGTACCACTTCTTCACTCTCATCTTCTACCTCTACTTTCTTCTTCTTTTCGAGTTCTTTTTGCCTCTTCTGTTCCTCTTTCCTCTTCTTCTCGATCTGCTCTCTCTTTTTCTTCTCACGTTCCTCTTGCCTTTTCCGTTCAAAGAGGTCCTGATTCCTTTGCCTCTCGGCATTCTTTCGGTTAATTTCCTCCTCTCGCTCCACTTCCTCGTCGTTGTCGTCTTGGTCACTGAATCTCATCCTGGATCTGAATCCACGCACCTTCTCTATCCGCAGGGCCTGCTTCTCTCTTGGATTCAGGGCCTGCTTCGAAATAGCGTAGTTTTGCATCGCCGTCCTCTTCAGCTCATTACCGTGCCTATTACCAAAGAGTCGGCTTCGAAGCTCAGGGATAGTCTCTGCATCTGGCATGCTAATATCTGACCCAGTGCTCTTACGCTTGCGATTGCGATTGCCCAGATTGGGCGACTGGGGTGACATAGGTAGCTCGGGGAAGTCTAGAGCTCCTTCCTCGCTAGGTAAACCTGAAGGCCACATATCGGGACTTGGAGGGAGCCAGCGCGGACTCTGCATCATCGACTTAAACAGATGGTTCTTGTTGGTATTCTCAGTTGGGTCTTGATCATTGGCCAATGGATCACCAAGTCCATCCACATCCATGAATGCGGTGAAGTCGAATTCCGGAGGTGTGTGGGTGGAGTAAAGCGATGGATCAATGAGTGATGGGTCAATGACCAATGGATCAAGAAGCGCCGGGTCAATAAGCATAGGTGCCAGAGGGGGTGTGGCAGTCTGTGCAGCAGCTGGGTTGGGGGATGTTTTCGTTGTTGCCCATCCGGGGTTGAAATTGCTGAAGCGTTCACCATTATGTGAAAGTATACGAGGCCATGACTCGCGCTGCAATGGAGGAGTCGATCGCTTCCAAGGGATGTGTTCTTCGAGAACGTTTTTGTTCACGCTCAGGCAATTGCCTAACTCAAGCATCGCGTTGGTGGTCTTGGCCAAAAGGTCGGTGGTGGGATTCATGATTCGTTCATAGAAAAGGAGCGGAATAGCGTGATGGCTGACCCATTCAGTGGGTACTTTTTCTTCACGTTGAAATGCTGGGATGCCACCGACGATGACCCCGGAATTGATTTGGCTGTCGTACATCATAATATTCCCATCATCTTTCTCGCCTCGTGCCGTATCCGTCCAAAACAAACGAGCATGGGACTCGTTGTTATAGATCCCGCCAAGCCAACGATAGTGTGCGACCTGTTGCTTGTCTTCGTAGTCTATGTAATTGAACTTGAGGTTCTCTGTATGATTTCGGATTCGCGTCTTGAGATCAGAGGTCACCACCAGACGCAGCGGGAGTTGACCGATCTTTCGTTCTCCGGTAACTCCCGTCGGATCACCACACTTATTACACTTGAAAGACTTTCGTGGGTAGAAACATCGCTCGATCAACACTTGTAGATCTACTCCGTTTTCATCGCCCGGTAGGTAGCCAGGTAAAATGCACGATCCTTGATGGGAGTTGTAGAACGGAAGCGCGATCTGGCTTGGCAAGGAGTCACTCGCTCGACGTGGAAATAGCGGAATTGAGCGAAGCTTCTCGTAGCCACTGACCAAACCGCCCAGGGAGGAATCGGTTGTCCCATTTTCAAGCCGCTTGAGCCATCGATAAACATACGGAGCCACTCATCACGCACAAATATAGAAGTCTTTTCGTCGAAGGTCTCCCAGCTCGCCATTGTCACTTCGATGAATGCTTTTTCGATATCTTTGAACTCCGCTGCTCGATTATTTGCACGATCTATCTTGGTGCAACCAGCATCGAGTAGCATTCCCGCCACAATAACAGCATCTGTTGCACAAGACATTGAATCCCAGATAGGGCCGCGGCCCCGAACCGGAAATACAGGGCCATTTGGATCCCAATCAAAGGTCAATGGCGACAGCTTTACATTTAGCGTGGTGGGGAATGATCCGAGTTTCATCGAGAGAATATCATTGTAAGACTGGGCTGTCCGGTAGCGAATAGGCTTTTCAAGAGACGGAATTGTGGGATCGCGGTCCAAATCAGCATACACGATCTGCATCACAGCCCGTTCCACGAGATCCGTAATCTCTCGCGTGTCAACTGGCCCTAAAGGTTGTGGGGCAAGGGAGCTCAATTGGTGCCTTCCAATGGGAGCCACTGTATAGGAAGGTTCCAGGCCAGGCATCCAGGTGAAAGTTGTGATATCCTCAGCAGCAAAGACGGGCTCTTGAAACGGTGGAGTTGGGGAACGAGGGTAACCGCGGTAAGCAGGAGCACCGGGTGACATTTGTCTCGAGCGTTTGCGACGGAATAGCTTGTCTTCGTCTAAACCCCGTTTTTGGGCTGGTGCGGGGGCCATTATCTTCTTGCCCGGCGGATCGGTCAATGAAAAGGCCGGTGTAAATTGGACTCCAGGGTTTAGGTGATTCAAGAGATGCATGCGGAGGATTTCCTCTTGTTGCGCGGCGAGTGTTGGCGCCGGAGGTGGTGGAGGTGGGGGGTGGTGTGCACAAGCTGTCAACTGAGTACATATATTGTTGAATAAGGTAGTCGGGCATGTCTGGCGGCGCATCATGAGGGCGTATATACGCATTCAAGATATTTGTGCTCATATCTGGAGGAGTGTTGTACCACCTACTGATTGGCTTCGGGCGTGGATTGAGGTCGTATCGCAAGAGTCGTGGTCCAGTATCTCGGTTAACATTGAGCATATCTACCCAAGTCTTCGGCCGATGGCGTTCTTGCATGTAGTAGATGAGTTTGAACAGAAGCATCAGTTGAGTTTTGACATTTGGCTTCTTTCTCGTTGTCATGGCGGTGTTAGTTGGTTCATGATAATGTATTCCCCAGAAGTAATGCTTCATCAACACTCGCGCCTGTGGGAGCTTCAATAAACGAATATTACCCAATGCAACGCCTTTAAAATTGGCATTGAAATATTCCCAGTCGTCAGGTGGATTGGGAAGACGGGTAAAATCGTAAAGAGTTAAAGGTGGAGGTGGGTGTTCGAGATCCTCCGGCCTCGACGGGAAATCCGAAAGGGGAGGAATCTCGAGCGGAGAGAAATTACTCATCGTGATAAACTGAGAGTTAAGGAATCTGAAAATTCGCCACCACGGGCTCAATCAAGTGTAATATGCTAATAATGTGGTATCCTATATTGGTCTGAGGAGGTTGGAAAAAATGGACCGAAGGCCGAAATGGTGCGAACCAAGTGCTTTAATGGACAACGAGAGGCATCCATTGTCCAACGTGCCGGATTGAATGCCACCTTTCTCAACCGAAAGAAATAGAGTGGCATATTGTAGATGGTAAGCACGAGATGAAAGAACACGCCGAGCGCCCCGAATCGAATACCTATGGTAGTACCCTGTTTCTTGATGAACAAAGTATTTACATCCTAAATGAGGTATAGGACCAGGGTAGTATGAGCGTGGGGTATTCTATATTTATCACATTAGCTCAATAGTAGCTTGGTCGAGATCAAGTCCAGGGGATATCAAAGGACTGTGTAAAAATAGAAAGGCACCTCTGATATCAACGGTGGGTCGAGTGGTGGAGTTCATTGAACAAAACAAAGAACATAAGTTGTTAAATCCCAAGGCGACATAGACCGGGGCAGATCCAGCGCAGGTCGAGGTTGTTGTGGCCATGTTGCTATCTTGTTTGAGTAAGTCTCCCGGGGTCACCCGAGTCTAGAAATGACCATCAAAGTGCGTCAGTGGTTCGTGTCGAGGTAGTCCTTGATGTATCCCGCAATTGAATGGGAAACGTTTGGCATATTCTGGCTTGAAAAAGCACACGAGTTAAAGAATGTATGGGTCTGCGAGTGCCAATAGACTTAGAGATGAGATCGAATCGCTCAATCAAATATTGAAAAAAAAGATAAAAAATGGATGAAAGGAATGGCAGTGTCACAGAGTAAATTAATATGGATCTCAAAGATTACTCGAAGCACAAAGAGATACTTTGACAGTGGCTGATAACTCCAAGAATTGGGTTCGTCACAGTTTCATGTCGAGGACGAGGAAAACAAAGCCAGTCTTGTCAGGGCTTGGGGTAAGATACGTGTAAATAACATATTGAATTACCTGAATCTAACATAAAAGTTACAGTCATGTGATTTCACATGATCTGCTATCAAAGCTAACTACTTTAGGCCTAGCGCCTGACAAGCGAGCCCTCGCCCAAATCAGGTTAGCGCCACAATTACCCGATCCCACAAGCAAAGTCACATACGTTGGACTTCCTCTCTCCATCCCTCTGTCGACAACCCATCGCGATCCTCGCCCATCGCCCATCATGTGTACGTGACGACCCCTCCTTTCAGTCTGAGAGCATTATATGTTATACAACCACGAATTTGCCCAAAAAAAAGAAAAAGCTGGAAGCGGTGGAAGAGACGGCGGTTCTCGAAATTGAATGTTGGCTAACATGGAGATTTGTCGATAACAGCGCTCGTGTCCGGCGATAAGACGAACTTCCAGTTCATCTTGCGTCTGCTCAACACCAATGTTGACGGCAAGCAGAAGATCATGTACGCGCTGACCCAGATCAAGGGTGTCGGTCGCCGTTACTCAAACCTGGTCTGCAAGAAGGCCGATGTCGACCTCACCAAGCGGTACGTTCACCACAATCCCCCATCGAATACAAAATCAATCCCATCCGTTTGTTATATTGGAGGAAACACTTGAAGGAGAAATTGGCGCATTTTGGACCTGGAATCGACACGGAATATCGCACAATCAACCGCACAAATATCACAAGACCGGCAAGCTGACAAGACACTTTTATAGTGCTGGTGAGCTCACCACCGAAGAGCTCGAGCGTATCGTGACCATCCTCCAGACCCCTACGCAGTACAAGATCCCTTCGTGGTTCCTCAACAGACAGCGCGACATCACCGATGGCAAGGACACCCAGGTTGTCTCCAACGGTCTCGACTCCAAGCTCCGTGAGGATCTGGAGCGCCTCAAGAAGATCCGCTCCCACCGTGGTCTGCGTCACTACTGGGGCCTCCGTGTCCGTGGTCAACACACCAAGACCACTGGCCGCCGCGGTCGCACCGTCGGTGTCAGCAAGAAGAAGGGCTAAATTATTCTGTTCGTTTTTTTGCCGGGGGTTCTTGGAGGGATTCCGTTATTTCCGGTGTGTTTCTATGGGCACTCGTGGGATCTTTTCCCGGTTGTCAAAAATTTGAAAATGAACCATATCAATGAAATGAACCGATCTCTTCAATTTACTTTGCTCTTGGTCGTGGATTTTATGGGATCATCTGTGGATCGATTTGCCTCCTTGATGATCCTATCTGAATCTTCGGCTCTCGTAGGGTAGAATATCTTGCAAGGCTCCGTGATATACTTCGGAGAATACCTTACTGTGGGGTTGGATGTCCTAGACCGTCGACGTGGGACGAGGCCTAAGCCATCGATGAACAACTATGGGGTACTGGGGTTAATATAATTTTATCTACGCCTTATCTACGTCTATCACGGACGCTCACACTTGCATACATACATACCTACTAGGTACACTACACCCAATATATGTACACCAAGCTCAACGACCTTCTTAAGAATAATTAGCAGCTTATGCGACCTCATGCATGTTTTTTTTTTTGTAGTTTTGTTAGTGTTTTTCATGTCTTAGGAACTTCTTGGATACATATTCTTCCTAGATACCCTTTTTTTAGACAGTATAGTCAAAGTCCGAAAATGTGCAAACTACCTTCCTCTATAGTTATAACCCTTGCTCGGAGTTGAAGTCTATACAAGATTGATTAAATTCAGAGTTGTCTAGATATATACTAAACAAAAGCCAGAAAAACAGATGATATCGACTTCGGGAGTATGCGGTCTTTCTGAATTTCCCCAGGGATTGGGTGTCAAATTGTGCTAAAGTAGCCAGTCACAAGTTCAGTAACACGCAGTGCGATAAATTTATCAACGCATTGTAGCAACATGGTCAAGTGTTTAGAACCACTCGCCACCGATCCAGCGGTTGAAGAACTCCAGGCCAGATTCAGGCTGGTCCATGGGAACCATGTGACCACCGCCGAAGATACGCATGAAGGTGAAGTTGCCGTGGGACTTGATTTGGCCGATCTTCTTTCCAACGTGCTCGTTCTGCACAATCTTGAGGTCCTCAAGCTCGGCGGAAGCGAACTCCTTCTGGCCAGGCCACTCAAGGGCCTCGGACCAGGCCTTGTTGCCAAGCCAGTTGCAGATGAAGTCAGCATCACCGGCGTAGACCAAGATGGGGATCTTCTCAAGGAGACCGGGCACCAGACGGTGGTAAGGCTTGAACCAATCGCCACTGAAGAGGAAGTTACGGTTGATATCGAAGTTGCATGAGTCGTAGCCATCAACCTCAGCACCGACAGCCTCACGCACGCTCTCCTGGCCAAGGTACTCGCTGATGTAGCCCAAGCCCTTGTAGCACAGGTTGTTCTCGTCCTCACACTTGCCGCGAACATCGTAAACGTTCTGGCCGGTGCGCTGGTAGGGGCCAAGCATGGCGTTGTTGCAGTAGATCGAGGCCGGGACACAAACCCAGGGGCTCTCGCTGTTGTAGCAGGACTGGATCATGCTCTGGCAGCGGGACAGGGAGTTGTCCATGGACTGGCAGGTGATCTCATCCAAAACAGCAGGGTAACCACCTTCGCCACAGGCCATGGGGCGGTAGTACCCGTACTGAGTGAGACCGTCGGTGAGACCGTTTCCAATGAGAACAGACTTGAGGTTGATGTTGCGCTTCTTGTGGGAGAGAATCTCCGATGCCATTACAGGGATGTAGTGGCCAGCGTAGGACTCACCAGCAATGTGGAAGTCCTGCTTAGCGTACTCGGGGAATTGCTTGAAGAACAATGTGAGGAGAGCATATACGTCCTTTCCAGCAGCAACAGTATCGCTGACGGAGGAGCCACTGTAGGAGTAGCCGACATTGATAGGCTGGTCTAGGAAGATCACAGAGGCATTGTTGTTCCATGAGAAATCATTGTAAATAGGCTTGATATTAGCACCGATGGAGCTGGGACCAAGTTCCATGAACAGTCCGGTGAGGGACGAGCAGCCGGGACCGCCGTTCAGCCACAGGACAACGGGGTCATTCTTGGGGTCATTGCGAGACTCGAAGAACCCTTTTGGATGTTAGATAGATCATACAAAATGAACGGACTGTTTCCAAACTTACAGTAGAATAGGTGCTTGTCGTCCTCGTTGTCATCCAGGTAACCACTATACTGCTTCACGTCGGGATCAATGCCGAGGGCGCTAGGGTCAACCTTCTTGGCGCGAAGGTTGTAGGCCTCCAGCCTGCCGTCAACCTCGCGCTCCTTGGTGCCCTCGGCACCAGAGACCCAAATGTCTTGGACTTCGGCACCACTGACATGATAATCCCAATGCGAGTCAGGCCGGCGGGTGTGCTTCTTGGGCAGGGAAAGCAAGGGAGCGCTCTCCATAGATTCCGGGAAGTAGTTAGAGACTTCCTCCCAGAGCTGGCGAGCCTCACTAGAGAGAGACTTGAACTGGTCTTGGAGGTGCTGCAGGGGCTTGAATGCATCCGCACCCTGTTGGACTACATTCTTCGCATGCTCGCTGTGAGCTCCGAGGACCTGCTGGAAGGACGGGGAGGCGGCCGAAGCAGCTCCCACCAAGAGAGTGGCGGAAAGAACTCTCATTGCAAAGTGTGTTTGGACTTCACACCAAGAATGATGCTAATGACGAGTTGGAGATGAAGAGCAGGTACCTTGGGGTCTGGAATCAGGCACCTCTTATCAGTAACCGTTTGCAAGAATGGCTTTCCATAGTAAGGTAAAGGAAGATAATGACTTACAACTTGAAGATACCACAAGATATTTTACTTGATAATTGGAAATAAAGTTGAGGGGTTCGAAGAAGCAAGACGGTGATGTCCTGGGCTTGTGAGATGAGGAGAAGCAGGTCCCTAGGGCCGATGACGCCGGGGACAGTCGATAAGATGAGGCGGTTGGACCAATCAGGTGACTCCAAGAGGGGGCACGAGACCCCATGATCGGATGATTCAGCATGAGTCACGGGATTCCAAGGTAAGGTTACAAGCGGCACGAGCTTGTCGACTAAGCCTTTTTCGGTAAAATTTCCCTTGACGAGGGGCTCCTCCTCCTGCAAAAGGCCGTGAGGCATCAATATTGGTGCCTTAGGTTGTCAAGGATATCCGAAAAAGGAACGGCCCCCCACTTGACATCATGTGATCCATAGTAAATGCAAATCAACTTTTAATACTCCATACTCAGTTTACATATATCCTTTGTTCTTGACGGTGTCATTCATTTGGAAAGCACAGTGATAAAATCTATCTTGAATATCACAGCATTTTCTGGTGTCTTTTTTTCCCCCACTTGAAGCAACCAGTCCTCAGCGGCTTCACACATCCAAAAATGCCGATCAACCAACCCTCCAACCAGATCAAATTCACCAACGTCTCAGTAGTCCGTCTAAAGAAGGGTACACTTATGTCTAAATTATAATGCTTTGACTTTTCTAACCTTTTATCTCCATCTAGGCAAGAAGCGCTTTGAACTCGCCTGCTACAAGAACAAGCTGCTCGAATACCGATCCGGCGCCGAAAAAGACCTCGACAATGTCCTCCAAGTTCCCACCGTCTTCCTCTCCGTCTCTAAAGCACAAACAGCCCCATCAGCAGAGCTAGCAAAAGCCTTCGGGACCGGTACCCCGCGCGAGGAAGTCCTCCAGGAGATCCTCCGTAAAGGCGAAGTGCAAGTGGGCGAGCGTGAGCGCAAAGACATCCTCGAGCGAGTGGAGAAGGAAGTCCTGGATATCGTGTCAGGGCGACTAGTGGACCCCTCAACGAAGCGGGTGTACACATCTGGAATGATTCACAAGGCGTTGGATCAACTGACCTCGGCCAGCGGACAACAACAGACACAAGCGAGCGGGGAAGCGAATGGAGAAGGCGAAGATTCTCAGCCGAAGAAGCCGCTCTGGACGGGAGTTTCAGCAAACCGCTCGGCGAAGAGTCAAGCGTTGGATGCCATGAAGGCTCTTATCGCTTGGCAGCCGATCCCTGTCATGCGGGCTCGCATGCGTCTTCGTGTGACATGTCCAGTGTCCCTGCTTAAACAGTCTGTCAAGGCTGCCCCAGGTGCTGCGTCGAATAAGGAGAAGGAAGCCCCCTCTGGTGGCTCAAAGAACAACAAGAAAGGGAATAAGGGGTCGAAGAAGTCTAAGAAGGACGATTCAGACGTCGAGGCTGGTCAGTCTGATGTGGAGGTTGCACCCAAGGCTCCGAGCACTGTCAAGGACAAAATCATGGCCTTTATCGAATCGATTGAATCGCAAGAAGTGGTTGGTGGGGATGAATGGGAGATTGTTGGTTTTGCTGAGCCCGGTGCGTTCAAGGGATTGAATGAACTCGTGAGCAATGAGACCCGCGGAAGAGGGCGGGTTGAGGTTCTGGACATGTCGGTCACACATGAGGATTGAATTATGATGTTTGATTTCTCTACGGGGCTTTGCTGTACATGATATACCGACATACCGATATGACTGATGATAAAAAGTAAAAAATGAACCTTGAGATATTCTGAATTTTAACATGCCACGACTCATTCTGTCTCATTGGGGGGAATTCCTTACAACGTAGAGGTGAAAAAAAGTCTATTCTCATGGAAAAAGCAAAGATAAATGACAAGTCAAACACCCTGGAGGGAAGGAAAACATACATAGCATCAGCCATCAGCTCGTAAAAAAAAAAAGCCACTCAACATAGGAGAATGTCTTTACAGCCTTGGGAAAATCCAAGGATTTCAAGTATAATAGCATCGGGGCCTACCTACATCATTGACTCGAAACAAGAGGGCAACTAAAAATATGATACAGTAAGACTACATGTAGGATATAGACAGACAAAAGCAAGAAACTTAACGCCATAAATGAGAGAGGTTTGGGTATTCCCAACGAAAAAGAGCAAAGCAATCAATCTCGTTTTTTGTGACTCTGGAGCAACTCAGATGTCCAACCCAGGCACGCCAATATGATCACATCCAGTCACCATCAAAACCACATTCTTACCCGGGCCAAGTTCTTTAGCAAGATCTATTGTCTTGGCTACCGCGTGACTCGAGTCAAGACCGGGCAAGATCCCCTCGTGGTGCTGGAGGTTTCTAAATCCGTCCAGGGCCACCGTGTCGGTAGCCGTGGAAATTTCAATCCGGCCAGAGTCCTTCCAATGGGCGACCTCGGGGCCCACAGTAGACAGGTTCATGTCTGGTGAAATGGAATGCGAGTCAAGGATCTGGCCATCGTGATTTTGGAGCAGGAGAGTACGAGCACCTTGCAGTACTCCAAGCCCACCATCTGTCAGGGCAGCTGCTTTCGCGGCTTCCACCCCAACCAGACGAATAGATGAATCATGAAGAAACGGTCTGAAGAGACCAATTGCACCACTACCACTGCCAACGGCGGTGACGAGGGCATCCGGCTGGCGACCTACTGCCTCGTGCATTTGGGCTGCGACCTCCTCGCCTAGGAGGGATTGGAACGTGCGAGCCAGGGTCGGCAGTGGACTGGGACCCACCGGGCTACCCATGAGGTAGTAGGCAGATTCGTGATTGCAGACCGCATAGCGCAGTGCCTCTGTGATAGCAGCGCGTAGACTACCCATGCCGGAGGGGGCTCGAGCCGTCAGGACCTTAGCGCCGAGCGACTTAATCTCGAGTACGTCGTGTTCCTGGGCACTAGCATCATCTGCACCAATGACGACGACGCAACGCAATCCCAGACGTGCGCACATTGCAGCGGTGAACTTGCCATGTTTGGCCGAGGCGCAATCTGTGACGATCTCAGAGCGGCCCATCCGGCGAGCTAGCAGGAGCTGGCCGATGATGTTGCGGGTCTTGTGGCTGCCGTATTCATTTTTGTCCTCGCGCTTCAGCCAAATGGTAGCGCCTCCTGCGAAACTGGTTAACTTCCCAGCCATGTGCAGTGGCGTTGCACGGAAACGCTGGAACATGGCATATTCTTCCCAGAACGAAGGGTCTGAGACGGTGGCCTCGAAGAATGATGTCAGCTCGTATAGGAATCCCATTATTGATTCAGGGGCGAACCGACCCCCGTAGGAGCCGTAGCCATCAAATGTAACCTGAGGGGCCCGCAGACTGCCATCTACCTGCAGGATGGGGGTATACGGTGTGGTGGTGTTCAATCTCGATGTGGAGGTAGGCTTGGCAGGTGACTCGGGTGGCGTGGACGTGTTTCCAATAACGGTTGATATTGTCGTTGCTCTGGTTTCGCCATCTGAGGCGTTTGTCGACTCTGTTTGTGTACTGCTATCGCAGCTAGAGGGAGAAACTGAAGGAGTTCTGGATTTTATGCTACCAAGCCCCTCGAGGCAGGGACTGGCAACACGTGCTTGAGCAATTATTTTGCCATGAGTTCTCAAGCGAATGGGTTCTTCCACGTTTCCGGTGCCATGTGTTGTGGAATCAGTGGGTTCACATGATTTGGAAGAGGAAAAGCAAAGAAAACGGCGCAGAGAGCGGAGCATGATGTGTTTTAGTTTCGATGTAGTGATTGACAATCAAATCAGAAAAAGCCATAGAAAACAAACAGATTGAGTTCGAGGATAGAATATTCCATGTAATAGAAGTTAGGGCATTCTTCTAGTGGGCGAGAGGTGTATTAAGTATAGAGTGGATGTCCCTGCCTTGGAGCACGTCGGCATCTTTCAGCTCAGGCCAATTGAAGGGAAAGTTCAATCTAGCCGGATTGCCTTTCTTGGCTAACTACTTGGGTATGTATGTTATCTGACTGGCTCTTCTTCTTTCAATTGCAAGTGGAGTACATTTGAAGTATATGGCCGGTATTGTGACGTTTCGTAGGGGCCGTAAACAAGTACAAGCATATACAGCTGAGTGTAAATATTATTGATTCCATTCTCACAGAAGAACTATGTAGCAATGGGTAAGACTCACCTTATTTCTGTACACCATGGAACTATGTATAAGACTCTTATACTGACAGAAACAGCACGTTACAATGAGTTAGACTTCAGAGGTAAATAACTTCCTACTTGTCGATCTCCTTTCAGAAACCCTTTCCATTAGGAATCAGGTTAGAATACTCTGTACGAAATATGGAGTAGTCCAATCATTCCAAATAAGCGAAATACTTCTAGATGCAATGAACCGCAGCGGTGACGGCAGTGGGACTCAAGCCCCAACGCCAATGTGCTTAAAACCCAATCTAGTATGATCAGATTCCATATCTTAATTGAGGCGTGCAACTTTGCAGGGATCCAGCTCCTTCTGGCACCCAAGCTGATAATATTGATTATCAATGCAATTGGGGCCCGGGGGCCTCTCAAGGCAGAATCCCATATGATGCTGTGTTACACCATGCGCACTCTCAGAATAGTCTTGTTGGTGTCTCACGAAGCGAGCCTTATCTCAGTCCAAATTCAAATCCACGACGTGATTCATTCCAGGTCCCGTTCCACGTGTTACCGTTGCCGTGTCTTCCAAACGACTCAGTTTATACGGAGTACAATTATCATCACTTTATCCCAAAAATGAGACATATTAGACTCTATGCAGTTCAGGGGTATAATTCTAACAGATTATGTTTTTTCCCACTGATGGGATGCTACTATGCCCTCAATTGGCCTATGGTTCGTACTAATTCAAGGATCTCTTTCAGCCACATCTTTCATTCAAATACACATTCTGCTAGGTTTCTTTCAACGCCAAACTCTATGTTTTTAACTAGTATTCTAGAAAGTATTGGGGAAATCACTAATTCTCAATAAAAAATGCAATTCGCCGGCTAGCAGTTTTATCGTTGGGCATTGCATTTTTTTTTCTCTGTTGTATCACTATCACAGCACGTTTGGTATACGCTCATTATAAATTATCTTCATAATTTACCAAACGGAACTAGACCTCCAAGATTCACTTGTACTTTTATGGTGATCTAGTAAATAATCATCTAAATCGACCTAGGGCGAAACTGGTCATGTGATGAATTTAATGGAACATTTTTCAACCAATGGACACTCACCCAAACAGTTAAGAAGGGGTCAAACAGTTAATAAGGGGACTTTTTTAATTTCTTTCAATGGATGACGATTTTGTCGGAAAATATTAAAGTAATTATTAGCCACAATC